ATCTATACTAATATTATAAAGAGGAAAGATTTGTATTTTTGTATGTTTGTAATGAATAAATTCAAAAACTACTGGACCGATTGCAATAATTTTTTCACCATTAGAAAGCTGCATTATTCAGAAGTAACATAGGCTATAAAATATCACGCTAGGTCCTATAGTTGTGGAGCAGTAACCAAAAATGTTTTAAAAACGGGGGAAAAGTATCGTTTCTGAGGCCTGCCGTGGCGTGCGCTGAGCATAATATAGTTAAAGTTATAAAAAAATGCTCTATAGATGAATTGTAATAAAACGTAAAACTATGTAAAAAATCTTAAGTCCCCCCGTGTGAAGCCGGGACGGGCCGCTAGTAATAGATATTTTGATAATACCTCTCCTATTGGTCGTAGCGTGATGTTTTATAGCCTATAGCCATCCTCGATAAATGCGCTATCCAACACAAAAACAATTATTCAAATCTGCACTTGCGACTGCACGGTTGTTGCAGTGGCTGGGCAACCGGCTGCCGTGCAACGTGTCGCGGGTTCGATTCCCGCACGGAACAACACTTTGTGTGATCCACAAATTGTTTCAGGTCTGGGTGTCATCATGTGTATGTGAACTTGTATGTTTGTAAACGCACCCGCGACACAGGAGAAAATACTAATGTGGGGCAACGTGTTAAAAAAACAGACTTGTAGTTCCGGAGATTAGCGCGTTCAAACAAACAAACAAAAAAAACAAACTCTTCAGCTTTAGATAGTAGTATAAGCAATTATACTACATTCTATCTATTCCTTGTTCTTTCCTACTGAAGGTAGATAAATCCATCTATCTTTCATTTTTCCGTCTCAAAAAACTTACTGGCAATAGGCAAACTAATCTATGGTTGCCATTATCTGTGGGAGGACGGATAAGTTATCCACAGATTGTTTTTTCTTCTTTGACAATTATCCACAGATTACTTTCACTATGAAATAACAGTTCACTGAAAACGACAATGTGTATGGTAACAAATTTTTTTTTATTTTTAGGAGTTGAGTAATGTATGTACTTGTATTTTTACCTCTATTTTATACACTGATAAAAAACTGAATACTGACAGCCTCGTTGGCCGAGTGGTCGCAAAAGCGACTGCCGGGCAAAGGCTCTCGGGTTCGATTCCCAGGTCGGGCAAAGTATTAGTTAAAAAAAGTTGGTAGGGTTTAAAAAATTATCCACAATAGTGCTACACTAACCGGGGACTGTCCTTGGGTGCATTTCCATAGTGCATACAGGGATAGTCGCCGATTTGTGTGTCCATTACATTTAGATTAAAGTTGTCTAAAGGGCCTCTGCGCAGTTGGCTTCGGCCCCTCGTACGCCTCCCAAATGACCGGGACCGTGTGGTCCCGTGAATGGTAAATATAATAATAATATAAAAATTACGTACACTTGCAGATTGTCCCGATCCTGCAAGTGTTGTACAACGCCCCTGAGAACAACAACCACCATATCTACATGTCGCTCATAGTGCTGCTCATACTCACTGAAGATGACGCGCTTATCAAGAATGTGCATTTAATTGTAAGTATTATTAATAGGATAGTTCACTTTTTAATGTCCGTCTGGTACACACGGCCACACATCAATCTACACAAAACCAGTTTATCCTGGTGTCGCGTCGCATCATCTTTCCGCACATTTAACGTTCAGTTTATACTGGTTATGTAAAGCTCGCTGTGTGGTCGTGTGTACATTAATTTCAAAATTTTTGACACGTACTCACAGAATTAAATACTTTTTGTAAATAGTTGTTTTTGTTTTTCCTATAATTAATTTTAATCTTAAGTTGTATATATTTCATTTAGTAATATTTAGTTTTAATTTTATTTAAGTAATAGTTAGTTTTAATTTTAAGTTTTTTATTTGATTAAACCATAATTAAATTCTTTCGACGATATATTAATTTTAAATATCGTGTGACGTCACAGCGTGCCACATTTTGTAGCACGTTATGACGTAACGACCTCCCACTCCTAAACTTAGCGCCATTGTATCTAAGTATTGCAAATTAATACGAGAAAATAAAAAAATACGTGTCTAATATTTTTTTGTTATCTAACTGACGGACTAATTAGATTTTTAATTTTCATACCTGGACATTAAAATAAAATTTAGGAAACTACCCTATTGTGTACTTGCCAACTAGTCAAATTAAATACTTTTTTCGAACTGTCAAAAACGACAGGTTTCTATGAATTTTGTACGAGATTGTGTATTGGGACGTCACGATTTTTTATCGTCAAACAGCATACCCACAATACCCACATATTACTTAAAAAATGCTGGAGAAATAGTTAAATTAAGTTAGTCATAAAATCAATTAATGGATTATTTTGTAATATTTTATTGTATTGAACAGTCGAAATAATTTATTTTTAATTAAGGAAAGTACCCAATTCCGCCTCCACGCCGCCATCGCGGGCGCGGGAGAATTAATTTATAATTACATGACTATTGTTTTCTCTATTCACAGATGCTAAAGAACCTAACATGGTACACTGAACGAGCGATCTCTGAGATCTCGCTGGGCGGTCTGATGGTGCTGGTAGTACTGCGGGCGTTACATTACAACATGGTGCGCGTTCGGGACAAGTATCTGCATACCAACTGCCTCGCTGCCATCGCTAATATGAGCTGTACGTACTTACTAATCTTATGCCCGAATACTGAAACGTTACTCAATTTTAAGTCGTGCTTAAATATCGTGCTCATCTCTGTCATTTTACAAACAATTTGTGGAGACAGAACTATACTTAAGCACGACTTAAAATTGAGTAGCGTTTCAGTATTCCGGAATTACCCTAATCAGTGGGGTAACTACAGCGTGGCGACTAGCGAGTGAGCAAAATGAAGTTTTGGCATATGCGGATTACAAGTTTTTTTTTTATGGCATAAGCCGGTAAACGAGCAGACGGATCACCTGATGGTAAGCAATCGGCGTCGCCCATGGACACCTGGAACACCAGAGGCGTTGCAAGTGCGTTACCGGCCTTTTGGGGATTAGGAGTTTGAGGATCGTTGGGGATTCAGGGATTGGGGAGATTGGGGAGAGGTTTCGTTTTCCGAACCCGATACCCCTTGCCCGGCAGTCGCACATGCGACCACTCGGCCAACGAGGCAGTCGTGAGACATACTAAATTAACTAAAAATCGCGGATTACTCACGTCATAACAAAAAGCTCTTGAGGAAGAACCCCTCTGTGATTTGAAACTAGTAGAGCTTTTCTCAGTATATTAACGTGAGTAACCCGCGATTTTTAGCTAAAACTTATTTTCTGTACATAATATATATATGAACGTATATCATGTGTTCATTTTGCAGGTGAATTCAGGAACTTACATCCATATGTAGCGCAGCGGCTTATATCACTATTCGAAACGTTAACGAAACGAAGAGCTAGGCTCTGCAGCGAAATTGAAGGTGAATATAGTTTTAAAACTACCGTCGTAGCTTTTACAAATAAATGTACCAATTAATGAAACAAGGTCAATATGTTTGTTTATATTTAATAAACATTTTTTATTGGATAAGCCGGTAAACGAGCAGACGGATCACCTGATGGTAAGCAATCGGCGTCGCCCATGGACACCTGGAACACCAGAGGTGTTACAAGTGCGTTATCGGTCGTATAGCTTTTTTCTTCTTCTCCTCTTAAAGTATCTTCTGATTCGCTTCGTTGCGGGAACCAAGACAGTTACTCATGTCCCTGAGACGCGCCGGACTTCAGTGTTCCGGTGTTTTCACGGTTGTATCTACTGTAGATCCTGGTGTACAGGAGTTGCAGCGGTTTTGGGAGGTTGTGGCGAGCTTATCTCTTGCCTTTTGGGGATTATGAATTTGAAGACAACGGGATTTGGGAGAGATACGGGATTTGGGAGATTGGGGAGGGGTTTAGTTTCATCCCGCGGCAAAATGACTTGCCATATAGAGTACTATCGATGAATAAAGTAAAATCAAATAAATAAAGATGTCTCTTTTTTAGTTTACAAATTATTTTATCATTTATTTTTTGTTTTAAACATTTTATTTCTTTGTAAAACTATTGTATTACCGAGACAACGAAATAGATTTCACAGTATAGTATTTAATTTATTTAAAATTTGCTAATTGATTGTTCCAGGTGGCGATATAAATAATTTAGAACTTCCACACATAACTGAAGAGAAGACAGAAGAAATTGTACGTATCTCAATTTCTTGTAAAAGAATTTTCATAGAAGGTATCATGACTGTTAGACCGTGATGTACGATTTGGATCTCAGAATTGGGATGATGACAGGATATGAAAATTAAAAATATAATTAGTCCGTCAGTTAGGTAATCAAAAAATGTTAGACCCGTATTATTTTATTTTGTCATATAATAAAATAATACTTAGATAAAACGAATCAAAGTTTAGGAGTGGGGTCTAAAATGTCATTTCTACGTATAAAATGTACATAGAAGTGACGTCACACGACATTTCAAATCAATATACCTTCGAAAGTATTCGTTTCTGTAAGAAAATGAAAAATACATGTGTAATGATTTAAAATAATCTACCAGACGGACATTAAAATAAAAATTAGGCATCTACCCTATTAAGTAAAAACGCGGGTTACTCACGTGAATATACTGAGAAAAGCTCTACTAGTTTCGAACCACAGAGGGGTTCTTCCTCATGCTGCAGCTCACTCTGAGCCATGAGTAACCCGCGTTTTTACTTAATTTAGTATGTCTCACGATAGTTATTATTCTACCCTATTGTGTACTTGTTTGCCAACTAGTCAAATTCAATACTTTTTTCGAACTGTCTAAAACGACAGTTTTCTATGAATTTTATACGAGATTGTGTATTGTGACGTCACGTTTTTTAGCGATAAACAGCAAAGTTGTTTCTTAAAATTTTTCTGGAAAATACTAAAATTAAGTCAAAAAATCAAATAATGAAAGTGAAAGAATTTAATTAAAAATCTAGTGATCTAGAGTCGATACCGAAACCAAAAATATGGTTTGTCCGGGATGAACTCGAAAAGTACTGCATGGATCTACGTCAAATTTTGCATATGAATATTACTAACAGATAGGGTCAACATATAGGCTACATATTATCATGCTATCAACAACGAGGGAGGAGCTGTGAATCACTATTTCATGCAGACCAAGTCGCGGGCTCAGCTAGTTTTAAATGAATATGTTCAAAATTCCAGATGGACCACATATCCGTGCTGGACGAGGTGCTCCGCATGCTCCTGGAGATCATCAACTCGTGTGTGTCGCACCAACTGGCATCGAACTCCAACGTCGTGTACGCGCTGCTACACAAGCGACATCTATTCACTCAGCATACACACCACCCTGTCGCGCAGAATATTGATATGGTAAGTTAATAATAATACATATTTAAATAATTTATTAATAATAAAATAATAATTACATTAATTATCTTTATTTATAATATATAATTTAAACTTTGTATTTTGCTGTGCCCGACAGGGTCCGTAATTGTGTCCTAGCTTTAAGCCAATGTAACATCTTAAGAAACATTATGGAAATGGAATGCAAATAAAGATATGAATATGAATACATTAATTAGTCTTATATCATTAGGGCGCCACTCAAACGCGTACAGAAAAATCCATTTAAATCAGTCAAGCCGTTTAGGAGGAGTTCAATGACATGTGTGTATGTAGGCAGAAGATAGTTTTCAAATGAAAGAAAGACGTTTTTCAAAGTTAATTATCTTTAAAATAATCATTTACCCTCTGCAACTGACGTGGTTAAATTGTTACAATTCAACTGAGGTGTATATTATACCAGACACCATTTCAACAGCAAATATTTTTGTAGAATTAAAGTATAGCGAGCACTATACAGTAAGGTACTCGCAGCAGTGATGCTCGTATTTGAAAAATGACGGTATAACACGTGATTTTGTATTTCGCGGTGTCTGTGGGACTACACGTCAGCTGCAGACGGTTAATTTGAATATGCAATGTATCAATTCCAGGTCATAGGCTACTTCTCAACGCGTCTACAGCGCGTCCAAGAGGGCGCTGGCGGCGATTTAGGCGTTAACGAGGTGTTGCAGTGTATCAAAAAAGGGGCTGAGCAGTGGTCTAGTGATAGGTTAAAGGTAATAATAATAATCAGTTGATTTTGATAGTCAAATAGAGTTATAGAGACTTTGAAAACCACACCGAATTGATGTTTTTGAATCTTGATGTATTCAAAAGTTGCTAAGTAGTTTCTAGTACAAATTAATTTCTATGTTCCACGCCAAGATTACATTAGAAATTTTATAAATATTGTAACTACACACCATATTCGTTAAAAAGAGATTTACTTTGCAAGATAAATAATACCTTGCAGAAACGAAACATTAAATTAATTATTTATTACAGTTTACTCATATGGGTCCATAGTCCATAGTCACCGTACTCACATAGGTCCATAGTCCACAGTCACTTACATAGGTCCATAGTCCATAGTCACCGTACTCACATATGTCCATCGTCCATAGTCACCGTACTCACATAGGTCTATCGTCCATAGTCACCGTACTCACATATGCCCATAGTCCATAGTCACCTTACTCACATAGGTCCATCGTCCATAGTCACCTTACTCACATAGGTCCATCGTCCATAGTCACCTTACCCACATAGGTCCATAGTGTATAGTCACCTTACTCACATAGGCCTATACTCCATAGTCACCTTACTCACATAGGTCCATAGTCTATAGTCACCTTACTCACATAGGCCTATACTCCATAGTCACCTTACTTACATAGGCCTATAGTCCATAGTCCAAAATCGACATCAAAGCCACATTAGAAGGTCGTGGTCATGTGGAGTACGACATTAATTTTTTATAACCTCATACATTTACTTTTTTCCACAGAAATTCCCCGACCTAAAATTCCGCTACGTTGAAGAGGAAAGACCAGAAGAATTCTTCACTCCTTACGTTTGGAGCCTCGTCAACTCGTGTGGCGGAGTGTACTGGGCGAGTGAGGGAGGAGCGAGGGCGTTAGGAGACCTCCTCGCTTGCTGATCATCACTCAGGTGTAAATTCGTGGATATTATGATCAGGACTCTAATGTGCCGATGGTACTACGAATTGTAGTTTAAATTTTGTTTTAATTTCCAATAAAGGAGGTTCTTTAGCTTTGATATTTGTTTTTTTTTTGTGTACTGTACTGTACAGGGGCTTACTCTTGAATCCAATTCCGATCGATCGACATTGGTATTGTGAAATTTCGTACTCTTGAGTTGCGACACTAGCGCCCATTGCATCCGTATTGCGAGGATATTGAATGAACTAAATGGTATATTCAGTTTGGCTTTATATTCCGTACTCTGAATGCTATTTTAACAGCTACGATTGTGGTTGTTATAGTGTTGACATTGAATAATTATGGAGATGTTATTGGATTGAAATTGCATTGACATTGAGATTGGTTACAAGAGTAAGAACACAGGTCTTTGTTTATTAGTGAATGTCTTTTAGTTAGTGGTTGGTTTATAGAAAAATGTGTACTTAAGTCCAAACTAATAGATGAATCACCTGATGGTAAGCAATCAGTGCAATGGATGGACGCCTACAGCATCAGAAGAATTGCTGATATTATAAGTAGGAATGAGCTATTTTCATGGTATTTTAAAGGTCGTATCCGTTCAGAAGCACTGCCGGCGATAGGACATTAATGTGATACTTTCGTCCCCCTATTACATGGGCTTCAGAACTGATAGAAAGTTGACATTCTGTAGTCCATGGGTGGCCAACCAGTCGATCGCGACTGTTACTCCATAAAAAAAATAAATACAAAATTAAATACATTGCTCAATGATATTACCAATTGCAATAATATGGTGTGGTTTTATATTTTCCCTCATAATAAAATAAAAATATTACAGAATTATTTACAAATTATGCTGTTTCATTTAAGATTTTAAGTAAGTAGTAATGGAATTGGTAGATCGTTCTAAGTGTCGTCAGGGAAAAATGAATCTTGGGTCTAAACAAGTTGGCCATCCCTGCTGTAGTCTATCTCTCATGCGACCAAAGAAAGTACACAATTAATAATTATATTCAACAACTTACTTGGAAGTTACGTAACTGTATGACGAGGTAACTTGATCAGTTTCAAGCGACGTTAGGGGCTCATATTCATGAGCAGCATTCCGCGACCCGCGACGCGACGACTGTCGCTGCTACTGGCTGTTCGGCTCTGCGGTGGTGCGGGCCCAAACCATTCGAATTCCTCGCCAAACAGTTACGTGAATAAGCCGAAAACATAGTAATTTATTTACTATGTATTGGCTTATCTTTTTAAACTGTCAAACACCAAGCGGTCACCGGTGACCGCAACCTATTGTTCTATAATTGTGTCTATAATGACGGTACTCGACGAGTTAAGGTAGAGAACAGAGTTAATATTTTCTTGTTTCTAGTTCTTAAATTTTTTTCTGTAACCGGCCACTTATTGAAAGGTTTTCACTTATACATATAGACCGTTTAATCTAAATGGATGTCAATAATGTCAATGTATACAAATACAATATTCTATAGTAATTACTATTGTACTATTCTTTTATACTGCATTTGGTATTTTTCTTGTCCTGTCACCACATATATGTTGCAAAATAAATGATTATTTAAATACAATCAATGTTTCTAGTAATGAAAATTGTACCTATTTTGTTTTAATGGATTAAATGCCGTAGTATGCACCTCTGACTACCCCTCGGAATAAAATGTGTGATGATATTTATTATTTTATTATTTCAATGGATTAATAAATGTATTCTTATTGTAATATATGATAGTAATATTGTAATCTTATATTTAATATAAAATTAAATTGAGTTTGTTTGTAACACGTTAACGCCTAAACGGCTGAACCGATTTTGATTATATTTGATATAGTGATTCGATTGGATTTTGGACTTGGATATAATCAAAATTTTAGTGTTGGATGTGATCGAAACCACGGGTAAAAGCTAGTTAAATAACACATAATATGTCTGATATATTTGACTAATACTAAATTATCTATACTTGGTACTACTTAATTAAATAATTATTATATGTAGTTGTTTGTAAAAGAAAATATAAAATTATTGTCAATTTTCTACTTGAATGAGTCTTACTAATGGAAAGACGCAAGAGAGCTTAAGTTCGATTTTCGGGTTGGAAAAATAATTTCGAAATTCTCAGTACCAGCCTCAGGCTCTGAAATAGGGTAGATGACTAATTTTTATTTTAATGTCCGTCTGGTAGATTATTTAAATCATTAGACGCGTATTTTTTTATTTTTTTTTACGGAAACGAATAGTTTCGTATATGTATTGATTTGAAATGTCTCGTGATGTCACTTCTATCTACATTTTATACGTAGAAATTACGTTTTAGCCCACACTCCTAAACTTTGATTCGTTTTATCTAAGTATAATTTTATTATACAACAAAATAAAAAAAATACGTGTCTAATATTTTTTAATTACCTAACTGACGAACTAATTACATTTTTAATTTTCATACCCTGTCATCAGCCCTATTGTAGTCTAGTGGTCTATATCAATAAGCTGGAACTCTGTTCTTGTCTAGAAAAGGGTGTTATATTTAATCTGTGCATCTCTGTTCACCCCTCCACGGTATAAGAACGCAAATATTGTACAACAACATCGAAAACTTCCAATAGTTCAACATTAATTTCACTAATCTAATATTCTAGCTAAATAGTGCCTTTTCTTGAACCCGTATTCAGATATTCTTTCGCCCGAATTCTGAAATGTTACTTAATTATAAATCGTACCTACTTGAATATCATGCTGTCTGTCATTTTAGGCTAGTTTTCTAAATTTTATTTTAATGTTCGTCTGGTAGATAATTTTAAAACATTAGACATGTATTTTTGATTTTCTTACGGAAACGAATACTTTCAATTCGACGATATATTGATTTGAAATATCGCGTGATTTCACTTTTGAGTATGTTTTATACAGCTCCCATTGAGTTGAAGTGATTTTGATCATTTATTAAAATTAAACTTTGATATATGTATTTTGAGAAGGTTAAGTCTTGTTAAACTAATTTAATAATCTTGTTTGTCTAAAATATACTTACATTAATGAAGTACTTTTATTATAATAGTTAATTTCTTTAATTTAAATTCATAATAAATGTGTACGTATAGTAATTGACTTCACTTATTAGTTTTCATTATTTATTAATCTTTAGTTTTTAATTCCTACTTCCCTTCATATTTACCTTAATACTTTACTGTACATATACATTAATAATGTACAATAATGGACACAATTATATTATTAAAAGTAGATTTCATTACTGTATTTCTTAAGGGTCATTTCATATAACTCAGAGTCGAAGAATAAAATAAAAAATAAGACATCAAATTATCCTTTATCTCCGCAAAGTAAGACACATTTTCCTTCTTCAGGTTACATAAATAAGCCCAAATTTATTCGCATTGGCGCGGTTAGGCCATGCTTCGGCAGAGTGGGCAGGGCTCGACCGGAGTGATACCACGGCCGAGCAGAAAACCGGCGTGAAACAATACTTATGTTGTATTTCATCGTGTGCGTGAGGTTTCTAATAGACATCTAATTCTCACTTCACAAAATGCTGGCAACACACTTGTAACACCTCCGGTGTTGCGGGTGGCATTGATTACTTACCATTAAGTGATCCTTCTGTATGTTTGCTCCAACATATACAAAAACATGTGATATTTCAGATTTTCAGACTTCATCTCTGTGCTATATTTATTTGAATTGATCCTAAAATAAACGATAGATTGTATGAAACGCAATATAGGGTAATGAACAATAAATAAATAAAACTGATATTTAATTGTTTTGTGTTTTATTTGTGTTGATCCTTCCTTTATTTATGACATGCTTCTGTTACCGGTTTGCTCTTTACAGAACTTTATCTTACATACATACTAGGTAACTAAAAATTCAATATCTTGCTAGCCTGCTAACAAATGCTGACATTACTATAAGAACCCTATATTACCTGTGCCTAGTCAAGAAATCAACAGTAATCAGATAAAAACACAATCACTGGTTACCTAGTCAACTCTGATAGAAAAAAAATATGTACCAAGACACTTATTATTCTCAAGCTGCTGTTTTTTATAAATCGTAATGACTGCACTAAATTTATTTGGTAAGGGTAAAAAATACATTGACGACAGAACACAATGAAACAATATCAAAATTACTATTTTTTTAGTCTTTATTTTGTATGAAGGGGGTTTTTCCTAAGAGAAAAACGTCAGCCCTATTATCGAATACGAAATTCAATACTTACATACTAAAATAAAGCAGCTAAACCGTTTATAGGTTTACCTAGCCCTTAAGCATACACATAAAATAATTAATTTTTATTAAATGATACCATTAGAGAGCACGAGGAAGCATCCGTTGTATTGTTTTATACCAAATGCAAAAAATTACTATAATTTTAACACGGTTTTAACTATAACAAAACACTCGTCACAGTTTGACATGCTAATATATTTAAATTTCCCGCCACTAGTTCCAGCGTCATAGACAATAAGACAACATCACTTGCCGACTACGCATGCGAATTTATTAAAATTAATATTTTCCTTGTATTCGTCCTTCAGATGATACACCTTGAATTTTTTATAAATACAATATTTGTGTCGTATTTCCTAACATTCGTGTTATATTACAAAAACGTGCAAAATATGAAAAAGTATAGACAACATTTTTACTTCCTGCCGATTTGAAATCAAGTCAAAATCAATTGCAAAGACAAGAATGTGTTGGTGTTGTGTATGTGCGTAAACAAGACATAGTTTGCGAAAAAAAATAAAAATATTTTCGCAAAGTTTTCATTACAAATACAAAGAGTTTCAACTTCTGTAAATCGGTTTGTGCATCAAATTGGTGTTTCCAAAAATAAGAAGTGCGCGAAATACATAGTTGCAAGTTTTTTGGTAAGTAAAAATCATGTTTTTGCTAATTAAGTCGGATTTTATTCATTATAATTCGTATAGTTTTGTTTTTAATGTGTAATTATTGCATTTTGCGTGTCTTCAGTATGTTTTGTTAGTTTTTATATTTATTATTTGGCATTTATCGGTGTCGCACAAATTATTATTTTTTTGTGTTTA